AATTATGGTTGGTCATCAAAAATGGCGAAGAAACGCCTATGAAGAAAGTGGGAGAAACACTTGTTCCCAAAAGCGAAGATGAATTTGATGCCGAGGACATCAAGAAGATTGAGAACTACGCAAAAGCAATCAATATGCTTTATTGCGCAGTGAATCCCGACGACTACCGCAAGATCTCTTGTTGCACAACCGCAAAAGAGATGTGGGATAAGCTTGAAGTCACGTACGAAGGTACGGATCAGGTACGTGAAGCTAAAATCGATTTTCTTACGCAGGAATACGAGCTTTTCAGGATGAAAGAGGGCGAGAAGATCGATGAGATGTTTGAACGCTTCTCCAAGATCATCAATGATCTTCATGCTCTCAAGAAGACATACACCAACAAGGATTTAGTACGAAAAATCCTGCGTAGCCTCACTCCCGAATGGAGATCCAAGGCGGATGCGATCTACGAATCCATTGGAATCTCAAACGTAACCATTGACGGGTTAAGAGGTAATCTTAAAACTTATGAGTCAACTATTCTAACCCCTTCTTTAAGTGATCAAAAGAAAAAGGGGATTGCTCTAAAAGCAACCAAGGAAACGGTTGAAGAGGAATCACTTGATGACAATAGCGAGTTCGGACTCGTCATCAAGAAATTCCACAAATTCATGAGAAAGGAATTTGACCGTAAGGGGAAGAAGTATGATGGCCCTCCCAAGTGCTATGGTTGTGGGGAGGTCGGGCACATCAAACCGAAGTGTCCAAACGCCAAAGGCTCCAAGGGCAAACATGGATTTAAGAAACAAAGAGCTTACATCTCTTGGGGAGGCGACTCGGGCGAAGAATCAAGCGAGGAGGAGGAGGAAGACGAAGAAGCAAATCTTTGTCTCATGGCTCAAGAAGAGGAAGAATCCTCTAGCGAAAAAGAGGTACGTAACTATTCCACCGAATCTTATTCTTTAGAAGAAATGCATGAAGCCTTTCAAGAGCTATTTGAGGAATTTGTCAACGCTTCAAAAACAAACAAAACCTTAAAGAAATGTTTTCGTAAGCTTGAAACTTATTTTGAAAACCTCCAAAAGGAGAATGAAAAACTTAAAGAAGAAAACAAGTTTTTTGGTAAACGAAGCGCCGACAAACCTGAAAGCTCTACGAACAATTGCGATTCTTGCATATCTTTGAAAGAACAAATAATCAAACTAGAAAATTCGGTGAAGAAATTTAATAAACCTCAAAAAGATCTTAATCTTATGTTTGATTCTGTGCAATTCACTAAAGAAGGACTAGGCTTTGGTAAAGAAAATGAATTAGAAAATCAGGAAAAGGTTGAGCAAAAACTTAAACAACCTAGAGCTCAACTCAAGAAAGATAAAAATAAGAATGATAGAGAACCAGAAAGAATAATGAACCTAGAAACAATAGAGAACCTAAGAAAAAGGTTAGTCAAAATAATGAAAGACTTAGACAACCCAGGAGAAACTATCAAAATAATTTTGTGCACAAAAATAATTTTCCAAATAGACAAAATAATGCTAGACCACCTAGAGAAAATTTTCAAAATAAAAATTCAAGATTTTATCAAAATAGGATGAACACTGTTAGGCCTCCTAGTAGTTATTATCAACCTAGGAGAATGCACAACCCGAATGTAGTATGTCATTATTGTAATAGAATAGGACATATTGCTCCGGTGTGCTTCACTCGACATAGGCATTGGACTCAAAATGAATCACACCTTCACTATGCACCTAACACTCAAGGACCCAAAAGTACTTGGGTACCTAAATCCTATTAAATTATTTTTGTAGGTGTGCTTGAAAGCATCAAGTGTACATTGGTACCTTGATAGTGGATGCTCCAAGCACATGACGGGTGATGCATCGAAGTTTCGACAAATAAAGCCCGCTAAGGGAGGAAACGTCGTCTTCGGTGACAATAGCAAAGGAAAAATCATCGGCATTGGTTCGGTAGGTAAGTCCGATGACACTTCTATTGATAATGTTTTGCTTGTAAAAGGTCTTAAACACAA